GAGAACTCTGCGAACCTTAGCATGTAATAATCATGACAATAATAAGAATAATAATATTAATAAGTCGAAAAAGAAAAAAAAACGTTATGGCGTTAAATACGACTACGTTATAACAAACCTCTAAAAATATGAACCGGGACCTTGCAGACCTGAATATGCCACCGTATTACGGTAGATCACATCGGTTAGTAATAAATGAGAATAGCTGAGAGGGAAGGAAGTAAGGAAACAGAATCGAGTAATATACAATACACCGTTTACGGCAACAACACAACAACGCTCACGACTTCTTAAAGTAATCGATTAGGAGCGCTCCTTGAAGAAATTAAATAATAATAATAATAAAATATGAAATCGTAGGCGTCTACAGGTAGTATAAGAAAAAATATTGCCGAATTACAGAACTAGACGGATAGACTGAGAAACTGGAGGATTGGTTTCCAAGAGCTCTAGAACGTCAACTGGATCATAGACTATGGAGCGAACGCTATTTGGAAGCTTCAAACTAACAGATATTGTCTGCAACTATGAGATTTGGATTTGAATATTTGAAGGATAGATCAACTTTACTAACATGCAATCTATCCTTGTCTACCTGAGCATTTTGAAGGTAATTGGCAATGCTGGAAGATACTAAATAGAAACAATTTTAAGATCTTTTGCTAGCCAGTTACTAAGTCATTAGAGGAAGGCAAAATAAAATGGCGCTTCTTCCTTCTTGGAGATGGATTACCTACTCTGCAGAGCAGTTTCGGATGCGTTCATAGTCTTTCACCAGAAACGTAGCATATGTATATAAGAAACTACAGCAACAAATTGTTCAAAAATCGCTACAGCTCCGAAAACGCGGAATTTGCACCACACAAAAAGCGCGAGAAAGCACGCTTTGCATGGTCACCAGTAGGAAAAATACCGTAGAAATAGAATTTTGAAACATAAGCACAAAAATAGTGCAAATAACCTAAATGTACTACGCGAGGCTATGACAACGATCGAATCGTACAGGTTCAACAATAATTTTCCAGACATATTAATGAATTTCCAATAACAAGAGTTATGAGAACCGAAGACATATACCGGCGAGTGAGTGACGTCACATTAGAGAAACAATGTATGACGTCATATGACGTGTATGCACTCAAGGGCGCTGCAAAACGTACTTGGAACACTTGCTAAGCATTGCTTAGGGACGAAAATGGAAGAAGAAAAAAGCTAGGAAAAGGAGCAAAAGGAAAAGGAAGAATATGATTAAACATGGATAATGATTATGTAAGAATTCGTGTCATTTACATGTATGTATACGAATCTAGCTACAATGAGGAGTGGGTGTGTTGAACGGGCCGACAAACGGAGAAGGAAAAGCAAAACACATACAGAAAGAGAATGAGGAGAGGGGGGAGGGGGGTTACAGTCAATTAGATAGTTACGAATTACCAGAGTTAAGATGGGTGTGACACCCTAAATGACATAGATTACGTTGTACATCTCAAGATGTAGAGTGTGAGATACAATTCTAACAACACGATACGAGCTATGTATTACGTACAGTATATAACGCATACCAGCGCGATGACGATGACTTTATGTTGACGACATACGACTACGATTCGCTCACATTGCAAGTGCGTGCAAATGTATCGATGGAGTTACTATTGCGCGAGCAGTCGTCTTTTACCGGATCTGCAAAAACAAAATTCTAGAAAGTCCAACAACTTTTCGATTGGAAATATAGTCAGCTTAGCGCTATAGCTAGATTAAGTTTTCATGCTTATCAGTTACATAGTTTTTTGGAAAATAGCCTGAAAACTGTACATGTAAAGGTTGGTGAACTATTGCAGTGAGAGCCATTACAACAGACAGAGACGC